CATTTAAGGACAATGCAAAATTCTTCGCAGCTAAAATATTCTCTGACCATATGGATACTATATTTATAGAAAAATCGTTATATGCACAGAGTTTAATATCTTTCAATGATTGAAATGTGTGAATAGATGAGGATAAGTCTAAATTGTTGTATTTCTTTGTAAACCATAAAAATTTCTTGATCACAGGTTCTTGCACCCATATTTTAATAAAATTATAATTTTCTGTTATTTTGAGGCAGTTAATAATTGCATGTAGATCCGAATCCTTCAGAATTATCATTTCGCAGATGTGCTCTGTATAAATTCAATAGATTTTGATTAGAGATTTAGATTTTTTAGAAAATATCATTTTTATCGTGAGACGAAAAATGAATCCTTTACCATATTCATGAAAAAATATTTCGTTTTCCGGCAACATGTCAATAGGCTTCTGTAAGGCCATTCTACGATATAAAAACAATAAATATTTATAAATATTAAAAAAAATTTATGAAATATTGTAACGTGCGAAATTCCGGATTAATTCCGAACTAAGTGAATAAATGTTAAAATCTATTAGTATTTAAACAAATTATTATTACAAATTATTTATAAATTTTGATAATTATAAATACATATTATACATTTACAATCGAATTTTATATCATATAGTGAATAATTGTTTATTATTAATTACACTAGAAAGGACTGTATCAACATTTGTGCTGAGATATCTTTACGTATATTTAAAAGTATAGTTATTATCATTACTAGTCCGTATTCACTGTCGTTGTTATATGTTGGATCTACACAAAAATAGAAAATAGAAAACATTTACAAATAATTATCATAATGCATTGCTATTAATATGTACAATAAAAAAATCAAGACGTAAGTAATGTCATATATATCTTCATAACTGCAATCACAAGGTTTATTATTTATATTATTAATATTACCCAACATACATGTCACATCATCCTTGAATTTTTCACTTATGTTGTATAAATATCGAATTATAGCCATGACTACATCAATGTGTTTATAAAGAGACACGAACAGTGAGAAATTTTTTTCTATCATGAACGATAGTATCTCCATTCTATAAATATAAAAAGAGAATGTTCCAAATGATATATTATGTTCAGTTGCTTTGATTTCAGTTGCTATACATATACATTTTATCTTTAAATTATATCTTTATTTACCTTTTTATATGAGAAACCTTTTGCTTCAATAACATTTTGTTAAATAGCTTATTTATTTCTACTGATGTCTAGAAAGATATATGAAAATTAATATTATATGGTAAAAAGACTACAAGTTTGTGCTTTGGCTTTAAGGATGTACGTCTCATGCGTCGAAACATCAGCAAAAGTTTGTGAAAATTTCTAGAGTAGACTGTTCTATTATTTTTTTAAATATCTAATGCAAAAGCCGAGCATCATTTTACAAATAGCTTAAAAATTATTTAATTTTTAAATTGACCTCGGTTCTTATAAATAATATATTGCAATATTATAAAACATATTCCCTTTTTTAAATTTAAAAAAATGTTTTCATTTATTTCTTGTCATCATATTATATATTGTATTAATACTCACATTTGTTACGTTGTTATATTCTAGATGAACGTAATATTTGTTAATAGCTTTCACTCGTTCCATGATTTTTGTGTGATTAGAGAAAAAATCCAATAGTCAATAAAAAGAATTTAAACTTAGGATTAACACCTCAACTGACTGAAAAGAACGTTTAGTTTAACGTTTAGTTGCGAATAGCGAATATAACATTAAAGTTTATAAACAGAGTCATCGATAGCAAATACTAATCACATTTTATTTACATTTGTATGAGATATATGCGCACACGCAGGCTTTACTGAAGTTTTTCGGAAAGTAATTCTTGGACTCCGGTATTCATTGCCAGTACTAAAATCTATAACATACGTAATCTAAACTATTTTCAGTACTGACAGTGAATATTGAAACGCAGCCCATGCGTGTTGGTCACCGAGCATGCAAATGTGACACGTGACCACTGCGCAAACTCAGTTCGCTGCATTACATCGGTATGACAGATTTCATAACCTCTATTGGCTAACTAACTATTTAAAGGTACCTTTTTCCCCACCCGGGGATAAACGTAAAACACACACATAACTTTAATGATCAATATCTCGGTTCGCGGGGCAGAGCGACACTTTTTTCTGCCAGATTCTTTCGTTTCATGCGTAGCTGGGTTAAACCCGGCACTTTCCCACCTAACCAAAAAGAAAAAAAAAAGAGAATACTTAACACCCATACTTAAAATAAGGTAAAAATAAATGTATACATTTTTTGTATGGAGTTTGATAAAAGCGAGGAAGAAAGTTTTAGCGTAGTCCAATAGTCCAGTAGTGAGTACTCTACGGAGTGAAGAACAGAACCGAGATATGTAAAACGCACATGTTAGTTATGAAATTGCTTAACGTACGTATGGATGGATACGCATGCCTCGACAGTTCTTATTCGTGAATGTTTATTCATGAGAATATAATATGTGGAATATCACATTTTTAACGCGCACAATAAAGAAACATTTGTATCTACATACAACATTCAGAAATGACAGGTCGCGCGAGATAACCTTCTCCTACTGTGTGCACCACGTTCGAAAAAGACGATCGCATTCATCTTCGACCGGTGGCCCATGGAGCGTATTGTTCTTCGGGACGAATGATTTTTCTCTGGAAAGCTTACGAAGTTTACACGAGCAATAGTTAGTACCAATCTTATCGTTAATTTATTTATTAAGTTTCTTTAATAAAGAACTAAGTGCTATTGTAAATAAGTCTGCAAAGGAAACATGAAATGTGATTATAAAATTAATTCTCCATAGCAGAATCAAGAAATTTTGTCGATTGGAAGTCGTATCAGTATGCAAAGGAAAAAAGAATGCAGTTGTACAGTTTGCAGAGGAAAAGGGACTCATTGTTAATAAATGGCCTCTCGAAAACAATCCACGGGGTTTTCATATCGGGATAGTTGTCTCCTTTGGTCATCTAATACCATCAAATATTATAAATTCTTTTCCACTGTAATTTTATTTATTTAACATATTCTTAGCTTAAACATAAATTGTATTATAATAAGCAATTAATATATCTTTTTCTTGCCACAGTGGTATATTAAATATCCATAGCAGTCTGTTGCCTCGTTGGAGAGGAGCAGCACCAATAATTTATTCCTTAATTAAAGGAGATACACAGACAGGAGTTACAGTCACAAAAATAATACCAGACAAGTAAATTTTTTCTTCTTAAAAAGTTTATTCTTTAATATCCGTTTCCATCAATGTAGATTAACTTTAACCTCAGTTTAAGTTTTGTTTTTTTTAATTTTAGAATTAGAAAGAGATAAAATATAAATTACGTCAAGATTAAAATTAATTTACGTTGGTAGAAGTGAACATAAGATACTTTAAGTTGAAATGTGAAATATCAGAGAATACATAATACAAAACAAAGTTCCATATTCAAAATCTTATTTTATTGATAAAATGTCTCTAAAAGTGACCTATAAGCCTTCTGATTGGCTATAAGTCACTTTTAAAAGCACTTTTATTGATAGATGAAGATTTAGAATATGGGTCTTTGCAAATTTAGATTTTATTTTAACACAAATACTTTTATAAATATTATATATTTTTCTTTTTCATCGATAGTAATACTAAGAGCCATTTACATCCAAGTTATAAAACATAAATATTACAACCTTAATATTATCTAAGACTTGCACTACTTAGATCGATAAATGTTTTTTTCATTATTTCTATGCTATACCACAGGTTTGATATTGGAGAAGTAATAGCACAAGAAAAATTAGATATTCATGCGGATGAAACTTTACCAGAATTGCATATGAGGTTAGCAAAGCTAGGTGCAAATGTATTGATTGATGTGATAGGAAAATTGCCTGGAGTGTTATCATCCTCAAGATCTCAAGGAAAATTAGGCATAACGTATGGTAACTTGTCTTTACTGCTGTATTAAAATACATCGATGTTTCAACTACTTAAATTCATTCATGTTTCTTGATATGATTATATATTACAGCACCTAAAGTTACATCAAAGATCTCTTTGGTGAAATGGGATGAGATGACGGCGAAGAATGTTTATGATCTGCATCGTGGTCTTCTAGGATTGTACCCGTTAAAAACCAAATTTGATGACAAGACTATAAAATTATTGGATGTTCAGCAGACGTCGAAACCAAAAGATGGAAGAAATTCGGAGAACGATGTACCAGGTAATTAATCAATCATTATTCCTGCATGATTCGCTGTGATACTAAGTTAGTTCCAAGGATTGAAAACGTTTAGTTTATTCCTAGGGAGAAAATTAATTATCTGAAAATATAATTATTGTATATCTTATGATAAAATGTGCATGATTAATGTGAAAAGCCTCTTCCAGGTTTCGTGAGATATGATCGAAAAAGCAATGCGTTAGTTGTGACATGTAAAGGACCAAGTTGGATCTCGGTATCGAGAGTAACTGTGTCTGGTTATTCACCTATGAGTGCATTGGAATTTAGAAATGGATTTATGCGGGGCAAAATGAAAGACTGGATATTATTTGAGAGTAACGTTACATAATCTACAGCATTGTTTCTGACTCCAACGCTGTTCTTTTGTAAACCTTCAATTTCATTCAGAAACAGATAATGGCATTGAATTTTTATTTACTACAATAGTAAGAATTTAATTTAGAAATGTACAAAATATAATATTGACGCAGTGACTATTGTAAGAATAAAAAGTTATTTGTTTAAATACTGGATAC